GATCGTACCAACTGTGTTTCTATATTTCTAATAGTTTTCCTTTAATTTCTGGACCAAAGCCTGTGTTCCCCAAGAAGCATCTTTTGACGCCAGTCCTAAAAATTTTCCTCTGAACTCTTGTTTTGTCAGTTACCAATACTATTCACGTGACTCTTTGTCTATGCTGACTGCTATGTTTTATTATTTACATGTAGTATATATACTCTCTTTCCTCAACTGATTGGTGAGGCCCAGTGAAGGGGAAGGAAACCATCAGTTCTTCAGTTCCTACTCTGTGCTAGCAGTTATGTATTTAATACATTATTTTATCTACTTACATAGTAACTTCTTGCAGCCAGTGTTATCTTTACTTGTTACAGAAACTGAAGTTCAGTGAATTTATTTAATTTGCTCAAGGACAAAATCAGAATAGTTTGACACTAGAACTAGCGTCAAATTATTTTACCAGCATTTTAAAATAAGAGTCGTCTTGTGTCTTTTACATAGTATATGCTTAGCCCTGGGTCTTGAACCATGTATATGTGTACTAATGTCTCTTAATGATGATAAAGTATTCCTTATCAGTATGCTTTCAAAGTGACTAAATATCTAAATATCTACACTTTTTCTAGAGTTTCAAATAATATTCATTACAAGGTCAATAATTTTCTGGCGAAATACATTTTTATGTAATAAAATGCAATCATGTAAAAGAAATTGAAGACCACAACAAAACTGCATGTCTGATTTTGTCATGAATTTTGCCTAGTTTCTGTTTTTATTTTGATATATATGTGAGATATATGTATAGAGATATATATATGTGTGTGTGTATATATATATATCCTATCTTATTTAAGTTCGCCATGTTGTTTAAGTTAGGAAAAAAGTATACAACTAAATCAGCGACCTTGCCTTTAGGTGTTTCACATATTTCCCTCAATTTTTACATTAAAAAAAATAAAATTGAATTTGCTTTAAATGTAGCCATAAAAACTTTTGTTATCCTTTGGGTTGATATGGATCACGGTTTTTCAGAATAACGAGCGAAAGCATGAGTTTGAGAAGCCTCGTTTGTATGTGATATCTATGGACTTCATGTAATTAGAAATGGGAGGAGACTTTTAACCCTCACAATGGATAAGAGTTTAGAAATAGGCTAGGGAAAAAAAAAAAACCTTAATTAAAATTAAAAATGGCCGGATATGGTGGCTCATGCCTGTAATACCAGCACTCTGGGAGGCCGAGGTGGGCAGATCACCTGAGTTTGGGACCAGTCTGGCCAACACAATGAAACCCGTCTCTACTAAAAATACAGAAATTAGCCAGTCATGGTGGCACATGCCTGTAATCCCAGCTACTCCAGAGGCTGAGGCAAGAGAATCGCTTTAACTTGGGAGGGGAATGTTTTAGCAAGCCAAAATTGCACCACTGCTCTACAGCCTGGGCGACAGGGTGAAATTCCGTCAAAAAAAAAAAAAAAGACAATTCACATGTAGTTTGGAAAACAAATCCCAGCCCTGACAGAGGAAATGGGATAGAGGAAGATGACACATGCAAATTACTAAATTTTTACACAGAGCATAAAATATATAAATCAGTGACATTTTGTCATTTGGGGTAGATACAGGAAGTAGCTATCAATCTGAAGAAAACAGTAAATTTTATCAATTTTCTTTTTTATAATCTCAAGTAACAATCATAAAGAAATTTCTTTCTGGCCAGGCACAGTGGCTCACGCCAGTAATCACAACACTTTGGGAGGCAGAGGCGTGAGCCACCGTGCCAGGGCAAAGCATTAATTTTTTTAATGAGCTGCTCTTTTAAAATGGAAGTAAAAAATCCACATATGCAATAGGGCATATGATTTAGGGTTTCATTAACAGAATAAATATTTTTAAAATAGGCATATCAATTTCCTAAAAGCTTAATTTTTTTTGAAAACCCTAGCTAAGAACATTTCATATTCTCTGCTTTCTGTTTTATTCTTCTTCTGAATAGTTAGTTTAAAAAGGGTTATCTACTTGGATTTGGGGTTGGAGATAGAAAGAAAAGTGAGTTATTGAGAAAGAGGAAAATCGTAAATACTCTCTTGTCACTTTTTCCAAGACTTCTTCACCCCCACAAGGTTGGCACAACTTTATAAGCATCTGGTTGCTCTTTCTTCCCGTTTTTGTGATAAGTCAGATGAAAAGTTAAATCCTCTAAGAAAATTCAATCTTTCAAGGAATACGGCAGTGAATACTTTTGTAGAATAGTCCTTTGGTAAAATAAATAATTATCTTCTAATTGTTCTTAATATTTGAAAGTTTTCTAAACTACAGCCTGTTTTTACCTTTACTTTGTCTGATACTTAGGTAATTGTGTGTGGATTTATCACTGATAACCTGGGTTATAAATTATAATAAAATTGCATATGTGGGCTTTTTACTTCCATTTTAAAAGATCAGCTCATTAAAAAAATTAATGCTTTGGCTGGAGGCGGTGGCTCAGGCCTGTAATCCCAGCACTTTGGGAGGCCGAGTCGGGCGGATCACGAGGTCAGGAGATAGAGACCATCCTGGCTAACACGGTGAAACTCTGTCTCTACTAAAAATACAAAAAAAAAATTAGCCAGGCGTGGTGGTGGGTGCCTGTAGTCCCAGCTACTCAGGAGGCTGAGGCAGGAGAATGGCATGAACCCAGGAGGCTGAGCTTGCAGTGAGCCGAGATCGCGCCACTGCACTCCAGCCTGGGCGACAGAGCGAGACTTTTTTTTTTTTTACTTCATTGAGGGTCAATCCACACCTATAGGCTAGAGCTAGATCATTACTCTGTTTTTTCACTGAATTATTTTGAGACCCACCTAAAGTCTACATTTTCTTCCCCCTCCCCACACCCCCAGGCAATCGATTCACAAGCAGCAGCCAGAGTGACTCTGTTTTAAGTCAGTTCATATCATTGCTCAGCTCATACCATCCAATGGATTAATGACTTTCACTCAAAATAGAAGACCAAGTACCTTCCATGTGCTACAGAGCTCTACAGGATCTAAAATTCCATTAGCTTTGGAACCTCATCTTTGATTCCTCTCTCTTCTCACTCACTTTTTAAAATTTTTCCAACCACATGAGCCTTGTTCTTTCTTGTATCATGGTAGAAATGCTCTCATATCAGGAACTGCCTGATCCCTCTATCTGAAATGCTCTAACTCCAGATATCCTCATGGATATCCCCCTCAAACCCTTTGAATCTTTGTCCAGTAATTTTCCATATCACTTAGGCCTGCCTTAATCAAACTATTTAAAGTAGCGCGTGAGCACACACACACACAAACACACACACACACACACACAGAACGACCTTCATCACCATCTATTCTTTTACCTAATTATTCTCCACACCTCTTTGTCCTTTTAATGTTTTATACAATGATCTTGCCTCTTATGTTTACTGTCTATCTCATTCACACTACAATATAAAACTTCATGAGGAAAGAGATCTTTGTCTATTTTTTGTTCAATTTTCTAAAACCTAGGCCAATATATGTCATATAGTAGCAACTCGATAAATAATTATTTGATCAACTTAATTAATGGCTATTGTAAAATAAAATATAAAAAATCTATTGCAGGGCTTTGGCATTCTAAAGTATTAAAATGCACGACTACATAAATAGATTAATTATAAAGATTGTGGTGTTGAGAGAGGCATTATCCTGTAAAATGGTTAATTTATAGTGAATGCAGAAATACAGGAAGAATCAGGCTTAGTTATAATATTAATAAATTAACAAATGTTGACTTATAGTACAATAGAGAGGAGCTCTTAAGTCAGGCAGATGAGGATTTGGACACCTAGACTACCACAAATTTCTGGGAAATCTAAGGCATGTTAATGAACTCTAAAGTGGCTCAGTTTCTTATCTGTATAGTGGCAATAATAATATAAGGATGTTGTAAAGCAATATAACATGTATTCTTGAGGAATTTTTATTACTGACAAGAACTATTTCTTATTGATAAGTGCTCTTTATATATTAAGTATACTTTACCTTCTATATTTGTTGCATATAATTTTTCCCTGCCCATCGTTGCTTTTTGCTTTTTCTAACAGATGTTTGTATTACATTCAGTCTTTCCAAACTCCAACAATTTTCTCCATTTATCCAATTCATTTATCATTAAATCATTTTTATTCCTATATGTACTTCATATTTCTTATAATTACTTGGTACTTTATACTTTTTTTAGAATAACAAAAAATATTTTACTAAAACCTAAGATTTACAGAAGTTTCCAGACAAGCCATACAAAATGGTCACAAGTTTTTTTGAAGGGGGGACTCTACACTTGACAGCAAAGTCACAATGTTGTTAGTAAGCGCTGTGATGCTTGTTTAATCTTCCCATTTTGGTTCAAACAATCAAGCTTGTCCATCTACAGCGTCTAAATAAAGTTAGACTTGGCTAGAGAGCATATTCTAAAGAACTGATTAGCTGCTTTTAACCAATCCAATTAGATCACCAAAAAGGCGGGGAAAGGAGCCCATAAAATTAAAATAAAACTACCTTCCCGCCAAAGAAAGAAAGAAAGAGAGAGAGAGAGAGAGAGAGAGAGAGA